AATATATTTTATAGTTGTAATAGATCTTAGTACTTTTTTTACCGTTTCGGTTTTATCAGACTGTTATAAGGTAGCCCAAAACACAAAAGCCTTTTGATTTCTTTTGGACTTCCTTGCCTGCCATTAGCTACAATTTTATATGATTATATATATATATATATATATATATATATATATATACCGGGTGGGTGGCGCAGAAAAAAGTTAACCTGTTTGATTTATTTTAACTTAAAAACTAAAAGAGCTATTACACCTAAACTACGTGCATTGCATTCAGTATTGTCTAGCTTAAATTTTGATATACGCCCTGTGCAATTTCGCTTAATATTGACCGAGAGAGCTGCGTTTAAACTTGAATAAACATTTTGGGAAGTGTCGAGAATTAGCTAAAAACAGCTTGTTAAACTAATTTGATAACCGTTACCATTTTATCGTAAATATTCGTTTCAATGCATGAAGTGAAGTTTAAATTTTAAAACCTTTAATTCTTTTGGCATTTCCCTATGGGCCCACCCCAAGGCTTATAACATATAAATTATATTATTTTATATTAACTACAAAAATGACAAGTCTTATTTTCAGCAGACAATTTTCAAGCCTTCACATAACTATAATTCTTTATATGGTACCTTGCAATTGTAGAAGTAACCCATAATAAGGCACAATGCTAACTATAGCATGCCCCACATGACTGTCAGTGCTTCAATCCCATTCCCTTTTAATTATAATGGCCATTGTGATCAAAGCAATATATAATGACGTTGCAACAAAATAGGTTTAGGTGGGGTAGAATTTTTTCCAGCATTCCACCGGTGGGGTAGCTAGAAATTTGATTTCGAAAAAGTTGGGGTAATGATTTTTTCTGGCTGCATTTTACTTTCTCTTCGGCCCCCACCCCTGCCATAAATAATGACCGGCCCTAAATATTCAATGACCCTGGGGAATCAAATTTTAATGTTCCAAGAAAGAAACGTCAAGTGTTTTTTTTTATAAATACGCCTCGTTTAACGTAGGACCAAAGTGTTTCGATATGTTTAGAATATGTAAGGGTAAATAATGCTCGTGAGGTTTATACCGGTGGCGTTGGGCAGGTCTCTGACAACGAACGTGTATACTTCCTGACTATAGTGCGTCTAAGGACATGCATGTTATTGCTGTATTAATATTTGATAGGCCGTTTTTGGCTAATTCTCGACACTTTCAAAAATGGTTACTCAAGTTTAAACGCCGCTCTCTCGGTCAATATTGCACGAAAATGCACAGGACGTATATCAAAATTTAAGCAAATTTATATATAACAATATATAAATTCAAGTTAATGAGATGTCAATGTGATAAGGGAGTTCACATTGACAAATATCCCAACAAAGAGCAATGCCTTGTTACATAGAAAGAAAATTTGAAAATTTGACTTGGTGTGGAGCTGTAAAGAATTACGGACATCGAATGAACTGAGGCAATGTGACAGGAAAAAGTTTATGAACGCTGGAATTGACATATCATGGTTATAAAGAAAATTTGGTCAGTAACTCAGTATGATAATTCAGTAAGACGCAGTTTATTCAAATAGAACTCAACCAGGCAAGCGCTTTTACTCTTCTGGTGGACAAAAGAATACGTTGGCTCAAGTCCCGACGAAGTTATTACCATTAAATGAAACTGCCGCTGGGGGAATAACAACAAGATCGATAGGCTAAAGCCGCTAAACACGAAATCAACAAGCGTCCGTTGATATCATTCCATGTCTCAATGCACATGCTTCCTAAAGTGAAGCGGTATTCGGCGCGTAAGTATGCGGTGCATTGACACGTTTGTTTCGTATTCCGCTTCTCAAACCAACCAAAAATATATTAAAATTCGTCTATTTTATAACAACATTCTGGTGTATTATTTGTCCATCAAAAATTCCAATGACAATTTTATTACCACCTTGAGGTTAGCCGCAGATTAGGCTTCAGATTACGCATCAGATTCGGCGTTGGATTGGGTTTCAATCAGGCCTTATATTAAACTGTATTCAATCGCTCAAAAGTAGAATTATAAAACTTCTTTTTCAGCTATTTCACAAAATTAATTTTACCTGCATACATTGTCAATACTTTACTGTTCAAAATGTAAGCAAGCTTATTTGCGAACGAAATTTAAGACTTAAAACTCTGCACATGATATATGTTTATGTACATTTGCAATAAATCGGCAACATGGATATCATCAAAGATTGGTACGATACCATGTATGCCTACATACCATGTATGCCTACATACCATGTATGCCGATCATGAAAATTTAAAATCCTTTGATGTACTATTATGTACTGCATAATCTATTTTGTCTACCAAATACATATTCTTACAATTTAATTTCTGCTAATATCATGAATGCATGATTGGATGTTCGATCGCAACACTGTGGTTACAAGCACGCGAATTGCATTTTGGTCTTGCTATTTTGAAATAAAGTAATGAATAAGCTATTTTCTGAGAGTTATGTCACATAATCGAGAAAGTTCCACCGATCATAATTGAAATAAAATAAGTGTGGTTAAAATAAGTGTGCAAAACGTATTCATGAACACATAATCATAAAAAAAATGAAATAAATAAATAAAAATAAATCAAATGTGCCTTGATAGTGAGCTTTGTTTGTCGTGTTGCCAACCCTCCAATTAAGAAATTGTAAGATAGAAGCTTTGTGGGGAAGCTGCTGGTTGTCTTGGCCCCATCCATGTTTCCTGTATATAGCAGGTTTTTTCTGGCCTCCCTGACTATCCAGCTATAGTAAGAGTGATAGTAACGCCCAAATATATATCTAACTATCATCTGGCAGCAGCTGTCTTGTATACAAATACAGCTGTGGTGGGAGTTCGTCTATGGCGAATACACATGCTGTGTATTTGTGGGGTTGAAATGTTCCCAATGGTCAACTTCAGGCCCATAGGCTCAGATTATTTATGTAAATATAATCAGTCGAATCGTAGGTACTGTCCAAGGGGATTATCACCCCCTTGATTCAGGTCTATGTCAGAGGGGGTCGCTACCCTTCGGGCAGAGCTCCTATGGAGCATTCAGTCTCTCCTAGCAGGTCTTATATATACCCCTGCGGGATGAAAACATAAGGCTTAATGAGTCTTTGGGTTGACCAGAGTTTGAGAGTATAATGTATATAATTGGTTCACTTCACCCTGAACCCATTCTCACACAATGATTTGGTGTGTGTTTTACTTATTTTCGGCTGTTCTTTCACCTAACGTGCTTGAATTATTAAAGTTAGACAATACTGAATGCAATGCACGTAGTTCACGTGTAATAGCTCTTTCAGCTTTTAAGTTAAAACAAATCAAACAGGTTAACTTCCATACCAGTTCTTCCATACCAGCTCATAGGTGGGATCTGCTGTATTTGACTCCAAAATATCTCAACAGATCGTGATCCATGCTTTTCTGGTTGATGGTCAACCTCGGAAAACCCGCGAAGTAATCGCAAAAGAACCCTTGTTAACTGCTCAAAAACCCCAAAATCATAACCGCTGCAGTTACTTTTGTGCGCTAATATAACGCAGATCAAAGTAAATGTTTTTGTTGGTTAAGTGTGTTTCTTCTGTGCACTGTGTTATTCTATGAAAGTGTGTTTATCTTTAAACTTGGGTTAAAACACACACTTGTCATATGAAGGCTGTGCCAAATAACACGTTAGAAAAGGTATGTGTGTTCTATAACGCACAAAGGTGTGCTAGATTGAAATCGTAACAGTAAAACGCGTAGTCCTAACACACCCAACGTGCTATATAACATGTTTTTGCGTATATTGTAGCACACCTATTTTTACCAATATAGTCATAAAACATTCATACAGGATTATAGGCAGGAATGGCAAATTTGACTGGCTATTCTGTCCCAGATTGCCCCATCATTAAATAATGGGACTCGTTTCTTACAGCTCAATGATGATCATCGAGGTTTTTGTCACTTTGTTTCTCGTTTGGTTCATCTGGTACTTTATCACCACCTACATCAAGAGAAAGAACATGCCTGCCGGACCATTTCCCTTTCCCTTCCTAGGAAACATTCCACAAATTATGTCTGCAGATACCGTCAGACCATTTAGTAAACTAGCTGAGAAATATGGAGACATTTTCACAGTCACTTTTCCATACGGCAACGCTGTTATCTTGAATACAGCATCCCTAGTGCGTGAAGCCAGGCTTGCCCCCGGGAAACAAGAAGATCTTTTGGGCAAATCACCGGAGTCTTTCTATCCTTTCGGGGAGATAATGGGTCATAATTTGGGCCTATCTGATTACTCACCCGCATATCTTTTTGAGAGGAAAGTTTTCGTATCAGCAATGCATATATTTGGGGCTGGGATAGAGCAAGCCTCGGTCCGTGCTGGTCACGCTGTTGAAATCGCGATGAAAGAAATCGAAAATAAACCAGGGAGATCTTTTTCACCTAAGAATCTACTCGAATCCTCCATAGTTGTGCAACTTGTGGAATGGCTTACATCGAAGAAGATAGCGCTTGATGATCCAATTGTGAAGGAACTCAACGAATTTAATGCGATTATGGGCAGACAAGCATTACTTAATACAATGTATCAGTTATTTCCGTTCCTATGTTACTTACCAACGCAATTTTCTCGGGAAATAAAGCGGGCACAACAGATTAGAGAGAAATTTTTCCCACCAGAATATCGAGCCCACCAGGAGAGTTACATTCCAGGCACCATACGAGATCTCACAGATAGCTTTATCAGTGCATACGAAAAAGAGCTGGTCAAAGACACTGGGAAAGACATTGGCTCGAAAGATAGTGGTATTCCAGGCTTGATGCTCAATGTTGTCGCTGTGGGATCACAAACTAGCTCGATATGGCTAACTTGGTTTTTTCTCTACAATGTCTTGTATCCCAATGTGCAGACCAAAATACACGAATGGCAGACCAAAATACACGAGGAATTGGACGCAGTAGTAGGACGTGATCGTCTTCCGAACTGGAAAGACGCAGAAAGCTTGCCATACCTTCAAGCTACTTTATCTGAAGTGGAAAGGGCTTCAGGTATGGTAACGCTCGCCGGGTCAAACGCGATTCGTGACACAACCATCGCTGGCTACCACATACCTAAAGGAACATTTGTCGGCCTGAATCTTCCGAAGGTGCATACGGATAAACGAGAGTGGCAAGAACCTGAGAAATTTAAACCTGAAAGATTTCTGGATGAGAATGGCAAGTTCGTCGGCTGGAATCACCTACGCGGTTTCATGCCTTTTGGTATTGGTCGTAGAGATTGTCCTGGCCAATCATTGGCGAAGATAATGATGTTTTCGTTTGCTTCAATATTATTACATCATTACAAGATAGAGTTGCCCGAGGGAGCAGAGATACCAACTACTAAAGTCTCCACTCCGCAAGCAGTAGCTCAACCAAATGATTTTCTAGTTGTTGCAAAGCCGCGGGAACTGGGATTATTACAAGACTGACGATAAAACTATAAAGTAGAACTCATAAATAGGGTTTAGTAGTGAACGGTATATGCCTTGCATAGATAAAGTCGTTGTCAATGATGGCCATAATTCAGCGATCCACTGAAATCTACTTTGGTTTGGTTATTTTTAAAATAGGGAACGCAGAATTGTGGGATGGGAACGGGGAATGGGAACGAGGAAGAGGAATGGGAAAGGAATGACGGGAGTGATTGTACTTACACTTAGTTGTCAGTCAGCACTGGATTCTAATTTGTGTAAGGGATGTAGCGATCGGGCGTGTAACACTCCCCCCCCTAAAAAAAGGTGAAACCCAGGTAAATATCAGGTAAAATTCAAGTTAAAATTTTGACATTTTCAGGTAAATTTTGGGTTGTTTTTTTGTGAAATGATAACCATTTTTGTGAAATGCAGTCAATTTAGATCAAATTAATTAGCGAATTTGGTTCGGAAAACGCAGGAAATGCAGCCCTGGAGCTACTTCAAAATGTAAAAATTTTCTGGGGGAGAACACCCTCTTCTTTGTAAACTTAGTATGACAGTGCGGAAGTCAATCAGAAAAAAGCTACTTTATAATCAATACACTTCATGTAAATTTTTAACTTTGAAGTTCAAATTTTACGTAAAATCCTCCGACACCTTCCCCCCATTGTCCCAACTTCAGATGCTTCGCTACGTTACATTATTTACATTAATAGAACGAACGTAAGTTATTGGGAAACTGAGTGACTATTATTTGTATATGTTTGGTCAGATTTATGGAGATTTGGGTACGTTCATGATTACAGGAGGCAAAATACGATTATAGATTTTAAATCTCGTGCGCAAGCCATTTCTAATTTGTCAGAAATGACACACACCCCTGGTTTACGAAATTTGTGTTCGAGAAATTTTTTTCATTACCGTATTTACTCGTTTAAGCGCCGCGGCGCTCTTTAAATTTTCAGAGCTTCAGATGCGGCGCTCATTCGGGGGCGGCGGTCAATCGGGGGTGGCGCTCTTTAAAAAATATTTTATTTGTGAATTATGACAAGAACTTTTAACTATAAAATAGACAAGTTTTAAAAGTTTTTGTTACTAAATGTCCCCATTTTGACGGCGGAAAGTTTTTACACTGTTTAGTGCGGCCCTCATTCGGGGGCGGCGCTCTTTAAAAAAATTTGATCTCAAATGCGGCGCTCATTCGGGACGGCGCTCAATCGGGGGCGGCGCTCAATCGAGTAAATACGGTATTCTACATTATAATTACCCAAAGAAGCCATATATATATATATATATTAAAACTGGATACCAATGGCTTATTTGCGAAATTGAGAGCTTTTTCAAATCTATCCAGTTTTTTTTTATACACCTTGACAGACGAGTGTATATATATATACATTAAATAGAGAGACTCAGACATGACTTCCACTCCCTCTACAATTAACCAATCAGAAGGGTTTCGTATATCCAAACAACCAATCAAATGCGTACCAAGTCTGTGGGAAATTTTAGTAGCGGTGGTGGAAGTCAAATCTGAATCTCTCCAATCGCAATGCAACGAAAGTGCGTTGTAGATAAGTTGATTGGAATTGCAGCCTGGGCAGGAAAGAAGGAAATTGTGCAAATTGTAGAATCATGAATAAAGAAATAATTTTAGTTGTACAGGGGCATGGAGGCTCGTTACCAAGCATCCAATTGTCCTGTATATGTTCATTCCAATTACAGAGACAGCTGATGACTCGTTGGAAAAATTAATTCGTTGAAGAAAGTATAGGTTTTCGGGTTTCGTGTTTCTTTACAAAATAATTATGTCGTTTTGGTGTTTTGAAAATACTTGACTAAGCAAGCTGCCTTTTTGCATAAATGAACAACAAAACTGTTATCGAAACAAAATTAAAAGGGCAAAGACGAAGTTAGAGATGAATTATGGAATTATCAGTATTATGCATCGGGGATGAATTATGAAATTATCAGCAAAGTTTCTGAAATTGATGAAGGTCTACGTTGAGCTCAACAGTAAGACATTTAATTCAAGAGTAATCTCACTACGCTGATGAAAGTGTACATAACCCTGATTGTTGATGCATAACCCTGATTGTCGCCCCCAGTTGGTTGAAGTCGTTGAGACTTCAACCATCCGTATAATTATAATTGAAAAGGTGAGTAAAATACGAGCATCTACATAAAATAGTTTCTGTCGATATAACAGAGAACAGAAATGCCGCTGCTCTTCACTTTATATGCGAAATTTCGAACAACATAATTTATTGCCTAAACCTTAGTGCACTGACGTTTTACAAATTGTATTCGTCCTGTTAAATAATACAATACTTATAAAAGAAAGACATGCATACGGCTATTTCAATTAAGGTTGTCCCCAGAGCAAAGCGGAAAAGTCGAATACGAGCGCGAATGGCTGCTGGGAATCGCTAATAAATGAATGAATTTATTAGCGATTCCCAGCAGCGTTTCGCGCTCGTATTCGACTTTACCGCTTTGCTCGGGGGACAACCTTACTGTATGCATTTATATGTATGGTTAAGAAAAGGCTTCGCCACACCTTTAAATTTAATTAAAGTCGATCTCTAATTTGCGATAATTGTAGTGTCAAAATCGTTTTCAATCGCAAGAGCGAGTTGCTTGACCAGACAAATGTTAACCCTAAAATTATATTGAAAACCTTCGAAGCAATTATAAATAAAATTCTACAAACCCCATGCACGACGGAACGACGAGTGTTTGTAATTGATATATATTCAGGTAGCAGTGGGCTTCCTTGAACCTTTTGAGTGGGGATGGGTGGGGATGAGTGTGGATGGATAGACGACATCAAAGAATGGGCTGGCATGTCCGTATACCACATGGTAGACATTGTACATGATCGCAAATAGTCGGGAAGATGGTTGTGAACATGAGAGCGGAATGAGGCACCAATTAACGGGCTCGTCAGCGCCCATTTTGGGGATTCAGCACTCCAATGGTACCGACAGCGTGGGCCTAATTATAGGCACTGGTAAAAAGTGGCGTGTTTTCTTGTATTATGTATATGGCAGGTTATTTTAACAGATTCAAGACTGTAGGCCGTGGGCTGTTGTGCAAAAAAGTGCCTAGAAAAGCAATTTCGTGGCACCCTCCTGGGAAATAGATTTTCTGTGGTTCAATTCATAGAACCATAGATGCTTAATTACCACAAAAAGTTCCCAAGCAAAAAACCTGCCCAACACCGAGAAAATGGGTGATCAGTGATTATCCTCTATTAAATTGTATTACAGCAAGAAAATGTAAAATTTTGTATTCAATTACAACAAAAATGACTTGCATTATCAGAAAGCTTACAAAAACCTACATATAAGACATTTAAACAGTTTTTTTATATCTATAATTGTTTTCGAGTTATACGCTGTCAAAACGCGTTTTTGACCTAGTACCCAGTCCTTATTGCGACATTTTGGTCCAATTTTCACATTTAAAACAGCAATAACTCAAAGACTATTCGAAAAATCAAAAACTGTTTAAAAATCTTGTATGCGGTTTTTTGTACGTTTTCCGATGATGCAAGTAATTTTTATTGTAATTGAATACAGAATTTCTCATATTTTTGCTGTAATAC